AAAAAATACTTAGAAATTTTGTTATCTCTCAGTAGATGGAGAAACAAATAATAAGGAAAAATACTTGGAAGTTCACTTATCTCTCAATAGATGTAGAAACAAATAATAAGGAAAAATACTTGGAAGTTCACTTATCTCTCAATAGATGTAGAAACAAATAATAAGGAAAAATACTTGGAATATCAGTTATCTCTCAATAGATTGAGAAGAAAAATTAAGAAAAAATACTTAGAAATTTTGTTATCTCTCAATAGATGGAGAAACAAATAATAAGGAAAAATACTTGGAAGTTTACTTATCTCTCAATAGATGTAGAAACAAATAATAAGGAAAAATAATTGGAAGTTCAGTTATCTCAATAGATTGAGAAAAAAATTAAGGAAAATTACTTAGAAATTTTTTTATCTTTGAATATATGTAAAAAAGATTCTTGGAAGTATAGTTATCTCACAATAGATTGAGAAAAAATTAAGAAAATATACTTGGAAGTTCAGTTATCTATCAATAGATGTAGAAAAGAAATTAAGAAAAATACTTTGATCTTCAGTTATTTCTCAATAGATAGAGAAACAAATAATAAGGAAAAATATTGGAAGTTCAGTTACCTCTCAATACATTGAGAAAAAATACTTAGAAATTTTGTTATCTTTCAATAGATGTAAAAAAAGATTCCTGGAAGTACAGTGATCTCACAATAGATTGAGAAAAAATTAAGAATATATACTATGAAGTTCAGTTATCTCTCAATAGATGGAGAAATAATACTTAGAAGTTCAGTTATATCTTAATAGATGGAGCAAAAAGTTAAGAAGAAATACTCTGAATTTCAGTTATTTCTCAATAGATGTAGAAAAAATACTTGGAAATTCAGTGATCTCTCAATAGATTGAGAAAAAATTAAGAAAAAATACTTGAAAGTTCTGTTAATTCTGAATAGATGGAGAAAAAATTAAGAAAAAATACTTGGAAGTTCAGTTGTCTCACTAGATTGAGCCTGGTTTCTACTATTCATGTTTTTACTGTCTGCTTCGTTACGAGGAAATATCTATAATTAATGTTAAGCTTTAAATGAGCCATGCTCAATTTCAAGTTTGCTTTCTGCTATGAAAAATATAAAGGAAAATGTATCTGGAAGGTTAATTGGTTTTTCTAAATTAAATCTGCCGAGACCCAACAAGGATTGTTTGTTTGTTGAACTTCGTGTAAATCCACTTGAGGACTATCTGCGTTAGATGTCTATAATCTGAAAATGATAGACTAGAGAGAAGATAGCTGGTCAACACCACCCACCACCACTTTTTAGTCTACTCTTTAGTAACGAATCTTGGAATGGTCCGTCATATTATTATGTCCTCATAGCTAAAAGCATGTTTGGCAAGGGGTTTTAATTAGGCACAAACTATACAATGGGCTATCTGTGCTCTGCCCACCATGGGTATCGAAACCCAGTTTTTAGCATTATAGGTCCGCAGACATGCCGCTGTGTCGCCATAAATTGCAAGTCGAGCGCCTTAAGTACCAGGCTATACCAAGGTCCCTAATAAGAACGTAAGAAGTCTATATCGAAACATGTAGTCATTTTTGGGTTGTTTCCTGTTTTAATAAATTATTGTGTAATTATTTTGGTGTTGTACTCCCTTTAACTGATGAACTTGTATATATTTATTTTTTTGTAAATATGGTGCTCCGTCTTCGACAATTAGTTAATAGAAGTAAACGTTTAAGCTATGTATCTGTGATGTCTGACGTAGTTTCTTTGTGGGTTGCAACAACCTGTGTTAGTAATAATTGACTCATCTTAACATTTTGGCAAAATTCCTTTTCATTAGGACTAGATCTCAAATATTCACAATATAGACGCCTCCGATTCCGTGGAGAATTTAGGAATTATTACGTACGTTAAATACCAATATTCAGTGTGTGATTTAGGTGCAGCAAATAAAATGCAGGGTATTTTTACTAACCCAAATAGTTGTCGTATTTTAAAATCTCGAAATAAAATTATCCGGATAACATCGTTGCAGCAAGGGAACATCCCCAGTATGAAAAAAGCAAAACAATAAAAGCGCAGTTTTTTGAAACTGCGTTCGTCAACAGACTTTAAAACATTATCATATTCTATCCAAAATCAATACACTCGTATTACCAAAACGATACTTATCCTCATAAGAAGATCATCTTAATTTGGAATTAGGGTAATCACTCGGATTCCAATTTCCAGCACAAAGCAATCATCATATAGTGAAACATAAGCCAGTTCAAAACAAAAATAAATTTAATAAGTGTACAATATTGCCTGCTGCTGACCTATCAATATTAAGGCCAAAATTAATCTACATGTATGAAAAGTATAGTTTGACTTCCAAAGAGTTATCATGGACGTCACAGACTGAACTACAGTCACTACTCTAGCTATAAACGAGAAACAGCGGTCACCACAACACTTAAGTAAATAAGGCTTAAAAAAAACCTTGGGCTTCCTCTGTTCAATGCGAGTTTCAAAAAAAAACAAACTTTTAATACAATATTACTAAACATGTTAACTGCCAATCGATTTTAATAAGTGTGGAGGGAAAAAAATGCACCCCTGTTGTTTTTTTCTTTTCAAGGTATATAATTCACTACTTACAATCAACTAAGGCTATATGCCACTGTCCCAAATTTTGAGTTGGTGACCAGAGGTAAGGCAACCAGTCGGTAGCACTTTACCATCCACCATTAATGCTAAGGGGTTAACTGTCACTCTTATAACACACACAGGTTAAAGTGTGAGGAATATTTTTTGGTATCACACAGATTGGACTGCAGCTCCAAATTTCCAGAGCTCTAGCACAGAGCCAACCTTTGCCCCTCATAAATCAGATCTATGTACAAACAGATCTGAGGCATATTTTATGATTTACAATATTTCAACCAGCTTGAATTAAACCATGTTATTTTGGATTTTGCAAATGAATGGATGTACTATTAACAAAACTTTCTCTGCAAGGATGCGTTAAGTTACTGAGTACCAAAAAAGTGGCAAGTAAAAAGAACATCAATTGATGGGCTGTCAAATTACTCAACCTCTCATGGGGGGAGATTAACCATGACTCATGTTATGCATCAGATGCCATTTTTTAAAGTCCTGTAGCATTTTGAATAGCAAAATATGTTAATAACAAAGTTCTAAAGCTGATTTGTATATTTTAATATTATGTATATTTTTATACTCCATTTGAATAACTTAGTGCACCAGTAGATTCTGCCTCATCTCTTCTGTAGAACTGTATCGATTTCAATCACTACAGCGAATAATTTGTAAATTTATCCCAAGCAACCTTTAAAACAGAAAAAAATTGGGTGTATTTGAATGATTTCATTTGATGAAATAAAAACAGTCTACCATACTGTAACCAAAGACAAGTTGTTTTTTTTTTATCTACAAAACACCTGAAGTACAATAAATTGTAGTACATAATGAAAGGATACCAAGTCACTGAAGGACAAAAATTGTATCACGAAAACATGATTTATCACAACATCTAAGCTAATTGTAAAGCTGAACATGCTTTTAAAAAATGGATAAAGTAGATACTTTTAAAACCTACATAAACATAATTTTATTTTAATGTATGTTAAATGTTTAATTGATAAAACTGCTGGAACCACCTTTACCTTCATTTTTTACATCTTACAATGACAAGGATATCAAAAACACAAATAACTGTATTAATTAACTAATTTTGTGGGCTTGTTTAAAACCAGCTGACATTTTAATTCATCAAAGTGACAGTTAACACTTCAATAATACATTAAAGCTTATAGCTCACTGGGTCATTATATTTTTCATAATGAACATTAGCATGACATAAATAAAAATGACTAGTGTTAAATACATGATAATTTTTTTCATTGCTTTATTATTTCACCAAGTTAAAGGAGACTGGTAACACATTTCAAACATTTAAATAAATATTATCTCTGTACATTTTCATAACAGATGTTCTTTCATTGTGTTAATGACTAGATATTCTAGATATATACCAGTTTGCAAAAATGGTTGCAACTACATTGTATTCATAGTAATCTGTACAATAATCTTTAACTAATAAAGCTAATTTTGTGGTCTTACTGCTTTTTGATGTCAGAAATTAACATTTAATATTTTAATGTTTACTTTTGGGCTTTTTCAAAGCCTAAATTAAATATTCATTATAATGCCTCTGTCATATGATATCTAATACCTAATACATGTTCTTTTTCAAGGTAGAAGCACATTAGTAAAAAAGAACGAACATATACTGTGAAAATGAAAAACAAAACAAATAAGCACCCAAGAAATAATAAACTTGGATTATATTAAAATTGAGTTTTACTATTTTTTGGGGTAAATTTACTATTAAGTTAAACTTAAGAGGTCCCAAAAAATTTAGGAAATGTAAGTTTGATATCATTGTGTTTTACACAAATATACTCTTTTCTCCCGTACAGATATTTGTTGTTATCACATAATTCAAATACATGTATATATTAACTATATGCAATACTGTATAC